TGAATAAATGGATGATGAATCTGGCCGCCTGATCCACTGGAACAAAACACACACTCACACAGAATAATGAATAAATACCCTTGAGGACTATAGAGAAACATTCAAGATCTTTTCAAAGCCGTTGACAATGAATTACCAGTCTCCTAAACATAGGTGGTACAATGCAAGAGCTTGCAAAAAGATGTGGGAAAGTTTGTGGCTCGTATACGTACTTTTGCGGCTAATGTCTCATTTCCCTGGCAGGGAGACGCTGGTGCAATTAGACCGCGTTGCAGTGATACAGTGAGCTTTAATTGAAAGGGAATGGAATGAAAGAGGGGAGACAGATGGAAACAAATGATTTGAAACCTCTGGAGTGGTCAAAGCTCGGCCCAATCAATAGAGCACAGATTACTAGCTTCGAAGCGTTTGATCCTGTTAATGGAAGAGAGGTGCAGGCTTGGGACCAGGCTGGAGCGGGTCACGGCTGGGAGCTTTCAGACCGTGAAGAGAACGGGAGGGGTGGGAGAGTGCCAGGGGGAGGCGGCCCTCCCTCTCTGCGGGATCGATGGTGTTCGTGTTGCCACTGCAGGTTTTCGGCGAACATTGATCGCTGGACATTGGACTGGTGACAGAAGACAGGTTGTAGCGGTCAATGTTCTAGTCAGTGCCGGAGAGTGACACACACACTTATACACACATAATGTAGTAGAGCCTATAATGTATATGAATTGCATGAATTTTAGACAGCATTTCTGTCCCCTTATTTTGAAGTAAGCGCAGACACTTACATATTTCAGAAATATTTCTTATTCGTTTAAAATCATAATATGCACACATAATTTAAGATCCAAAAGTATACTTAAATTTGGCAATCTTTCTAATGGGTTACTTGAAGAAGAAAAAAAAATCCCCTTACTTTGAAATAGTGTAGAATTTTAGCATTTATTATTCATTTTACATCATAACATGTTTTATTTAAAATTGTTCTAAATACTATAACTTATATATATATTTTTTTTTACTTTTTATTTGAAATTTACTTTACTTTTCCAAATTAAATTGGATCTTCCAGTTATCTCAGACTTTCTTTCCCAGAAATTCAGGTGATAATTTGTGCTAAACATATGTAAAGGAGAGTACTTATCAAGTATGGTTATCCTAACTCTAACACTAACTCACCAAAACAGAGGTTAGCTCATGAAAATAACTGCAATATGATTGTCTGCCTATATTCTGAATATCTTCAGAGATCACTAGCAAATAGAAAGACATTTGAATCTAGTAAAGCAAAACATTGCGCTATGAGCCTGTAGTCACCCCAATATTCTCAAAGTTTACCAAAAAAATTAATCATAGACACTCGTGTTGTTCCAAACCTGTATGTCTGTCTGTCTTCTGGGGAATATGAGAACATTTTTAATATTGTACTAGTTAGTTGTGGAGACAGGAGCTTTCAAGAATCAAAAATGACACACAAACACCATACAAATGAACTAGAGAAATGGCAATGGTTCATATATATATTTTTTTTTTCTGAGTCTGATTTTTTTAAATTGGTGAATCAAGTTCAAAAACCAGTCTAAATGATCCATTCATGAATCGGACAGATCTAGTTCTTGTGTTCAACTTAATGACTCAATGATCCGGATTATTAGTGAATAACTTAAACTTCTGTCTGTTCAACACATAAATGAATCAAATGCATTCTGAAGATATGGAATACATCCTACGAGTCATATGCACCACTTTTATGATACTTGTAAAGTGCTTTTGAGTCCATTTCGAAGCTTGAATGAACCCATTTATTGTTCCACAGAAGATAGAAAGTCATACAGGTTTGGAACAACATGGTGGTGAGTACATGACGACATTAGTTTCCTTTATTGTTGAACTATCCCTTTAATGTGTGTTTTGGAACTTGAAGATTTGTCTTTAAGCTCATTTCCTTTCATTTTGTCCCAGGGGCTGTAAATCCTTTACTTATCAAGCCAAGACAATGGCTCAGCCACAGTGACGGGGTCTCCTGGGCGACCATGCAAAGATAAGAAGCGATTTTCACTCAATAGCAGGAATTAGAGACTAACAGCCCCTATTAAAATGTGTGGCTTTACACACATGCGCAGCCGAGGGGAGAGACTCAGAGCTCAGCGTGTTTTTGCGTTCACATGTGGGGGCGGACTGTGACAATGGCTGTGCGCGCATGTTCCATATGGACAGAATGGCAGGTTCTGACACCTATTACGATGTGATGAAGCTTACACACACGAGTGTCTGTATATACACGCACATCAGGAAACATCACAAGCATTCGCTGGCATAGTGCCACTAATTGTCATACTGGTATCTCATAACTCAGAAATCCAACGGTGAGAAAACTTTTTCGTTTTTTTTTTTTTCTGACAGCGCAGGCAGAGAGACAGAGACATCTCCCTCCATATGGTAGCATGTTGTACAGTGTGCTTCATCATTTCATCACTGAAACAGAAACTGATGTTGTGTCTAATTTAAAATGTATTATATATGAAATGCTTGTCTTTAAGTCCACTTTCAGATATTTAAGCTACAGTGAACTTTAAATGTAATAATAATAATAATAATAAAAAAATAAAAAAAATACATTCACAAGCCTACCACATTGAACCCTTTTGGGATTGGATTTTTTTTTTTTTTTTTTTTTTTTGAAGGACATGTCTAATGCTCAACAAGGCTGCATTTATTTGATCAAAAACAGTAAAAAACAGAGATACTGTTAAATATTATTACAATTTAAAATAAGTTTTTTCTATTCTATTAAAATGAAATTTATTTCTGTGATGGCAAAGGCTGAATTTTCTAACAGAAATCATTCTAATATGCTGATTTGGTGCGCAAAAAGCATTTCTCAATATTATCAATGTTGAATACCGTTGTGCTGCTTAATATTGCTGTGAAAGCCATCTTTATCTTTAAATCTTTATAAATGTCTGAATAAAAGTAGTTCTATAAAAAAATCTTGCTAACAAAAATATACAAATTTGGTTTCAATTAGTTTAACAAACTGATTTCAGTGTGATTTTTAGTCAGTTCACAGATGTATTACAGGTGTAGTTCATCATATAAACTATGAACATATTCCACTAACCTTTGACTACCAGAAAATGTCACAATAGTTTTTGTCTTCAATTTGGAAAGTATATCTGTTGTTTTAATATTTAAAACCTTTTGCTACATAATTCAAGACATTCACACACTTTAAATATTGAGTGTTAAAATGCATTCCGGCATAAACAAGTATTTTCAAATATTAAAAACAAATGCAACATGTGGACAGGAGACTGTTGGTTGGTGATATATGCTCACGCATCTCAAGGATGCAGAAAACATATTAGTTATGTGACAGTTGTATAACAAAGCTGCATAAAAACTTTGGGCATCTTCACTTTAATTTTGAAAATGTGAAAGACTTTTACTCTCAGATGAAGGTCAATGAGCAAAACTACACTTGTACATTCTTTGTTGGTCGATAAAAAACATCATCCCACTTGAATGACCTTTCCCTGGAGGTCTGTTCACTTAAATTCAATTATCTTCTCATACATGTCAACTCCTCCATCTGTCATTTTTATTTAGCCTGCAGCACATCCACCATGGCTCCTGTGACCACATTCAACGTTACATCTGACCTCCCTGAAAGCTCTACATGAGAGTGCTGTAAGATGGCTGACCAGCCTTATACTCTCATGGTTTCAATCAGGTCCCATGGGCACCCGTTGACTGATGTGTGTAATGGCCTTGGATATGGGCGTCCATAGCGAGGGCAACTTTAAGATGATGTGTAAAGCCTGTGTAATTGACCACACTCAGGAGTTACACCTGCACCACAGAGCATAAATCAACCAGCCTTGGCTTTCTGAGCACACAACCTTCTAATCTAGAGCCAAAGAAGTGTGATACCATCTGCCACCAGCAGGTGGAACACTGACGTCATGTGCTCAGAGCTGTTTTTGATGGTTAAATCCCCAGAAGAACCATGAGACTGAGAAGAATAATGAATATCTCAGGCACAAAAGATTCTGTTTCAGAGCTTAGTGGAGACATAAGGATTAACACACATAAGCAAGAAAAAGAGAACATCACAAAGCATGAGAGACACTAACAGGATGGAAGTATAATCGGTTTCTTGAAATAATGAAAATCTGCAATCATATGATTGTCATTAAACAGTTGAATAGTTAAAGCATTCTTCAAAATACCAGAGCAAAAAAGTAAAAAATGACACGAGTGAGTAAATGATGACACTTTTTTTTTCACCTCAACTAGTAGATCATATACATTAGAATCATTAAATTTCTAAATGTATACTAACTCATTTTCTGTTTTGCATTTTAGGGGAGATGAGGGATATTTGTCATTATAATGGATATTTTGAATTTATTTTTGCATAGGCACATAAAAGCTCACAATGGGATCCTGCCATTAGCCCATTTATTACAGGTTTTTCGACAAATATATATATATATATATATATATATATATATATATATATATATATATATAAAGATGAAACATAATACACTTCAAAGAAAAAGTCAATTTTGTCAATTTTATATAATAATGATTATTTTTACTATAATTATTATTTAATTTAATTGTAGAAAATTAAAACAAATTAAACATGACAACTAGCCCTAAAATGACATTTAAGAGAAAAATGGATCAATAATAACTACTCACTGTAACAATTAGCCCTGGTCTATAATGTACCAACATTTAAAAACACTGCTGTAAGGCTTTAGTATAGTATAGTATAGTATAGTATAGTATAGTATAGTATAGTATAGTATAGTATTGTATAATAGTATAGTATAGTATAGTATAGTATAGTATAGTATAGTATAGTATAACCGATATAATAGTATAGTATAGTATAGTATAGTATAGTATAGTATAGTATTGTATAGTATAGTATAGTATAGTATAGTATAGAATAGTATGGTTACAGTAAGTGCAGCAGGCATCGTTTCTGGCCTGGGGCTTACCTGCGGCTGAGGGCATGATCATTGGGACACAGGGTCTTCCCTGACCCATGGCGGGGGCAGAGAGCAGCATTTTCGCTAAGGAGGCAGAGATGGGCTGAACCAGCAACGATGTCAGGTTGTAGCGACTGTCTCTCTCAGCTGTGAAAGAGGGAACAGAAACAGAAAGAAAACCGTATTTCTGGTTTTAGCAAGTCTTTAGAACATCTCAAAACTAAAAGACTAATAACATAATTTCCATCCCCAGCATTTCACCCTCAGCGTGCCATTTTCATTGATCATGATTTTGTGAGCGTTTAGAGCACGTCATGGGGCTCTTTACCGCAACACATGAGCAAACCAATTACCCAATCAGAGAGCTTTCCTATTGTTTAACACCTCCACTGAGTCTTCTCACACATCTTCATCTAGGAGGCCAGATGAACGGCATTAGTCCGTTACGTGCTGCATAAATATAGTTGCAGTGGGGCCAGGTGGAGATGCGTCTAGTGATGTGAGCTGAGTGAGAAGGGGCGGGCGAGGAGGTTCGTAATGCGCTGTAAATCAGACAGAAAGAGAAAGAAGAGCGCTGAGAGGTACCTGCACAGCAAGGCAGGGACGTATCAAAGCCCTTCCTCGGCACTGATTGCAGCTCACGGGCAGCAAACTAATAGGCCCGGAGATTTTAAGTTTGAAGAAACGGTTTCTAGCAAGCCAATGGGGATTTATATGGACGAAATGCTCCATTGATTCAGCCTCATTAAAACGGAGAAACGGTGAGCCTAATCCTGCTTTAGGAGCAAATTTATTTAGGAGCTTCAATTTTCTGCACCGGTGGGATGGGGTACAGTCATCCACGAATAACAATCAGTAGACCTTTCTGTTACACAACACTATTACCTTCCACAGATAAACGTATTCACAAGCCACAATTATTTTACAGCAGTTATGTGGGAATGAACACAGAGGAAGGTCCCCTTGAAATAAGCTTTTTTTTTTTTTTTTTCATAGGGGATACAGGAAGTGATTATTGAGCTTCCAGTGGGGCTTTTGAAGTAACACAGTTACACAATTATCTGCTTAAAACCCTCACACCCTGTTCACATTACAGCCCTTAATTCCATGTCCGTGGACAAATGTGGGCACAGAGGTCTCAGGTGTGATCCCCCAATTTTTTTTTTTTAATGTTATATCAATCTCTTCGATAAAATAAAATCTATCAATTTATGGTGTTTTATTTTTATTTTGGGGGTATTTTTGAATTTATTTACCTCTAAAAGTACCATATTTTCTATGTAATTTATGCTTATTTTTATGTTATATTTAATATTTCTTTAACTTCAGTAAAAAAAATCATTCCAGTAAGTTCAGATAGCCAAAACCTAAAAATGTGGTGACTTTGGTGTCATCTAGTGTCTTATGTTGGTATAAAATTAAAATAAAAGCAATAATATCAATAGCCACTAGATGGCTATAGTACTAAATGGCTGCATAGAGGCTGAACACTATAAACCACTGTTATAACGAATTTAACCTCTTTTTTTTAATCTTTTTTTTTATAAAGTTTTTGATTTTATCACAAGTTAAAATTGTAATTAAAAATATATATATATCTGTGTTAGGTGAGACTGTAAAAAGATGCCAAAATATGCTTATACAAATATGACCATGCTGTAAGGAAAAAACAAAGTAGTGGATCATTTATCATTTATTTCAAACAAAAAACATAATATTTCATAACTCAAAAAACTAATTGCTACCAAACAGGTAAGAATAAACATAATAACTAAAAAAAGTAAGTGTTAGGTAAAAATAAACAGGTTATAATGTTTACATGCACTTGTGCGCATGTGTGTGTTTGTGTGTGCGTGCAGAGGTGGATGATTGGAACATAAAAAAGAAATAAAAAAAAACGTCAGTTATTGGCTCATTCAATCCTTTGTTTTTGTATGTGCGAGTGACTTTTTATTTGAAAAAACAAACAAAAAAACAGCTGCTATAGGCTAATTGAATGCTTTGTTTGTGTGCGTGTGTCTGTGTTTGTGTGTGTCTGTGTTTGTGTGTGTGTGTGAGTGTGAGTGTTTGCAAAATTTAGAATGTTGTACAGGCTCACCCCTTCATTTGTGTGTATGTATGATATGCATTGTGTTGGATCTATTAATTTTTATTAGACAAAAAAAATGCTCTGAATTACAGTATTACAGTTTTTCCCATTCATTCCTATGGGTGCCCATTTTTGTCCATGAACACAAGATTAAGGACTTTTTTTTTTCCACCCACTTAACATTGTAGAATCGAGTCAAAAAAAAAATGTGTGTGTTCAGGTGGATTATTTAGGAAAAGTAGCCAAGTCTCGTACCGCTCAGATTAAGGAAAGTATTTTTAAAAAATAAATCAAAATTATTTTGCCCACATTTGTCCCCAACACGGTATGGGGGGGAGTCAAGGTTCTGTATAGAGAGAGTAGATTTTCTGAACTCATTATCTGAACTCAATATCCATCCATCCATCCATCCATCCACCCATCCATCCAACACCACCCATCCATCCATCCATCCAACACCACCCACCCATCCATCCGTCCGTCCATCCATCCATCCATCCATCCATCCATCCATCCATCCATCCATCCATCCATCCATCCATCCATCCATCCACCCACCCATCCATCCATCCAACACCACCCATCCATCCACCCATCCATCCAACACCACCCATCCATCCATCCATCCATCCAACACCACCCATCCATCCATCCATCCACCCACCCATCCATCCAACACCACCCATCCATCAATCCATCCATCCATCCATCCATCCATCCATCCATCCATCCATCCATCCACCCACCCATCCATCCAACACCACCCATCCATCCATCCACCCACCCATCCATCCAACACCACCCATCCATCCATCCATCCATCCAACACCACCCATCCATCCATCCATCCACCCACCCATCCATCCATCCAACACCACCCATCCATCCATCCATCCATCCACCCACCCATCCATCCAACACCACCCATCCATCCATCCATCCATCCATCCATCCATCCAACACCACCCATCCATCCATCCATCCATCCACCCACCCATCCATCCAACACCACCCATCCATCCATCCATCCATCCACCCACCCATCCATCCATCCATCTCAATTTAAATGCAATTCAAATTCATAAATTAAATTAGAGATTAAAAGACATCCTCAATTAAAGCAACACCAAGGAACTTTTCCTTCCACCAAGGAACGGTCGCCCTACAGGTTGGAAGCGGAATTGTCCATTACCGCTGTCGTAAATAATTTAGCCTTCCGCATCCTACTGTCGCACGCGCACGCTCGCTGTTTATCCAGCACCGGCTTTGGAATCAACAATGGCAGACATCCCAATCTGCAAGAAGTCATTTCAGTGAGGTATATCTTGGTGACTGGATTGTTGACGGGGGGTGGCGGGTTGACTAGCTTTCGTGAGGCACACTCGCAAGGTCTCTCGCTCACTCCCTCTCTGCCGTGCTCGCGCTATGTATGTTATGCGCGCAGTATGTTCTGTCTCGCATGCGCCCTCTAGATTCCGGCAGATTTGAACTAATTTGCGGGCATCAGGGAGAGCTAGTAAGTCCCGCCCCTTCCGCTTACCCCGCTGGACCTCTAGGTTGAAAAATCGTCAATGCAAGTGAATGAGAGAAAATAATTATTTTCTAATCCCGTTTGAATTTTGCAATGAATGTGAACATATGTTGTCTGTGAATTTTTTATATAATTTTTCGTGTAAAGAATGCTACAATTTAGCGGGTATAATTTTCATACGGTTAGACTTTGTGTGAGAGCACTTTGTGGACTACAACTCTTCGCTGCTTTCGACGCGTTTGATATACGTCACCACCACTAGCACACGGATCCCGCTAAAAATGCCTTTGTTTGAACGGTGACATTTGGGTACAAAACACACAGGCATCTCGATCTAATTCCTTAGATTATCGCATCGTGATTTGTGGAGGGAAAATGTGTTATGCGGTGACGTCACATATGCGACGTGTAGTCTTTCTCGTTATGTCTATTCCACAACTGCTAGCCAAAGAATCATACAATATACTGTCAAACTCGTTACATGAGAAATTATATAAAAAATTCACAGACAACATATGTTCACATTAATGGCACAATTCAAACGGGATCAGAAAATAATTAGTTTCTCTCATTCACTTGCATTGACGCTTTTTCAACCTAGAGGTCCACTTGGAGTTTTACGGATGGGCGGGTCTTACCAGCTCTATAGACTTGGGATGTCTGCAATGGCCATAGACAATTTGAGGAAGTGGTGGGGGAAGTGACGTATGCCGTAAAGGAGTCGAGTTTTGAAGTTCTTTTTGTGCTCGGGTTACTACCCGAAACCCGAAATTACATAGTGCGAGTAAAAGCGATAAAGACCACGTCAGGCTATGGCAGACGTGTCATTTAACATATTGTAAGTCGATGTACCATCACAAGGGTCTTGGAAATACATTACGAAGGTTGAAAAGTTCCATAGTGTTGCTTTAAAATCGAAAGGTCAACAATCATGGTGGTGTCCAGTGCAGAACTGAAGTTGTAGTGCTGCATATCCAGACACACCTGAATTTGATAATGGCTGCAGAGTGAACTGAATAAAAAGAGAGACATAAAGTGACTTCCCCGTCTAATACTTTCGGGACATGACTAGAGCACTCACCTTTTTTTTTTCTCTTTTTTTTTTTTACCAGCCTAAAAGTACTTTCATTCGTCTAGATAAATAAAACACAAACAAGGTTGTGGTCGATAGCTCTCGTCCTTTCCTGTTAGTTCTATCTGTAGTACAGCTAAAAATGAGCAAAACCCCACAAAACCCATTAGGTCGTGCTCCAGCTGGAGATATTGCAGCGCTGGAAATAAAGGAGTGCTGACCTTGATGAACTCCAGGAGAGAGTATGTAGTATGTACTCGCTGTTTCAGCCTGTAGATACTATACAGAGGAGAGACGACTGATATAGTGGAGTCCATACTACAGGGGTGCATGAATTTAATACCTCACATGTCAACTAACATGCTAGTCTCATGGTAAGAATGATTCATGGTGCCAGTGTGTGTGAAATGCATACACGCTCTTCCCTCCATCTCCAGAGGACAGATGTTTGCAGC